GCTAGGTCATATTCCACAGTCCTAGACAAGTGCTCCTCAAAGCCTTGTCTGTGGCTGGCTGCTAAGTCCAGCAGTTTTGTTACTGGCCCACCACAAAAAAGGCAGAGACATGGTGAGCAATCATTTAGAAACACCTGTAGTAAGGTGACAGAGTAACTCTATGTTTGTTGAATCTAATAATAAAAATTGAGTTTCTGTTTTATATGTCTGGGTTTTAATTTTATTTTTCTAGTAATTCAATTGTATTATTTTATGAAAACACCAATCCATAGTTGATTGTTAATTAAAAGAAAACAAAAAGAAAGATTCTTCCCAAAATTAGAAATACTCAGCAAGTTAGTGCAGTGGAATGTTCAGGGCCGAGCCGACCTGAATGGGATTTCAGCTCTTTCACATAGAGCTATGTGGACAAGTTACTTAAACACTCTGTGTCCCAATGGCTCTAGCTGCACAATGCATATCACAATATTTGCATTTTCCTAAGGAAAACCCAATAAATATTGGCTTTGGTGTCAAATGGCCCTCAGTTTCCTGAACTGTGAAATGGATGTAATAATCCCAGTGTCACAGTGGTTTAAGGATCAGATAACTTGGTTAAAATATGTAGTTCAGTGCCTACGCAGTGTCTAGCAAAAACCCCAAGTCAGCAGTCATTATTATTGAAAATGTCTTAGGCATAGTAGGCCCTTGATAAATATTAACTTATATCATCCCTCATTTGTGTAGAGGATTCTGAAGCACTCATGCCTCCTGATTTCAGTCCAAAATTTTGACTGACTGGGAACAACTCAGTCTGACCATGTCATATACTGATGCTCTCAAAAAGAATCTGGACCCCGTGAGAAACAGTTTGTGGATGTGGCCCATCAGGGCAGGCTGCTTCTGTTTACCAGAGGATGTTTCTTCTCTAACATTTACATCTGAGAAAATTCTCCTCTCTGCTGTCTCTATGTTGAATGATATAATGCTGGGAGAAGGCCATTGACAGGTATGTCATAGGAATGCACAGATAGCTATTTCAGGTAATGGGGAACAATGTCAAAGAGAGATCATCCTATCTCTTCTTTCACAAATTATTAAACATAATATGTCTCTTCATGCCCATCTTTAAAAAAATGCATAAGGGGCTAGTTGTAATGAGTAAAAAGAAGACATTGGCTGGGTGCGATGCTCACACCTGTAATCCCAGCACTTTGGGAGGCGGAGGCGGGCAGATTACCCAGGGCCAGGAGTTCAAGACCAGCCTGGCCAACATGGTGAACCTTCATCTTTACAAAAATGCAAAAATTAACCAGGCGTGGTGGTGCATGCCTAGCTCCTAGAATCCCAGCTACTCAGGAGGCTGAGGCAGGAGAATCACTTGAACTTGGGAGGTGGACGCTGCAATGAGCCAAGATTGTGCCATTGCACTCCAGCCTGGGTGACAGAATGAGACTCTGTCTCAAAAAAAAAAAAAAAAAAGACATAAAAAGCTCTACATCATTTTAGAGTTTATAAAATGCTTTGATCTGACTTGATTTTTACAATACTATGGGCAGAGCATTCTATTTCCACCTCACTGATAAACTCAGCTGAGAAATTAAATGGTTTTCTAAGCATACATTGCTAGTGAAGGTATATCTTAAACTTGAACCCAATCCTTCAAATCCCAAAATACGGGTACAGAAAATACAGGTGAAGCAAGTTACATTCTGAAAAAAAAAAATATTTCAGAAGAAAGTCTCAGAAAAATAGTCAAATATGTGAAAAACTTTAAATTATGAATACAGATCTCTGTGAAAGACATATGATGGCCAACCAAGAATGGATATATGGATGGGATGTGGGTAGAAAACAAAAAACAATTGATGTCCATCCAAAAATAAAGAATATTAGGAAAAAATGTTCAAAGGATTACAGCTTGTGTTTAAGGTATAACTAGATTCAAAACCCATAGGTAGAAATGGGAGAAAAGGAAAAAAAAAATCGAAAAAGCTGACAGACATTCCTAAATGGCCCAGGCTTAGAGACAGAGGCAGCCTTTGAGGATGTCAGACAAACCCCATAGAGAGAGCCCCAGCGGGCATCTTCAGCAACAGAGCTAACCTTAACCATCGGCCCACTTAACCATTACCACTCTGAAGACAGTTCGTGAAGGCCAGGGGTAGATCATTCTGTCAGACAAATGTCTCCAGCTGCTACCGATGCCTGCAACCTCATCGGCTTAGTATTTGACCCTTAATAAGAGGTCAGTTACCTTCGCAAGGGCAGCATCTCAAATGTTCTCAGTTATCTAGATCTTTGTGTGGAGGAATTTCAGGTCGTTACTTGAAAGGAGGTCTTAGCAGTAGAGGAAACCAGAGAGGCAGGGTAAATAAGGAGAGAGTGCCCCTTCTCAAGAAAGGCTGGCAATGCTGATGGGAAATACTGGCTTTTCACGATTTTCCCGGTTTCTGTAGTTATCATGATCACCTGACACAATTCTCTAATATTTTTATTAGGAAATTTTAGGCAATAGTTTTCTAATCATAATGCATTATACAGAAAAATTTTGTATGGAGGATAAGTGTATACATACAAAGACAGGCAATGAATAACAACAGTATTAAAGGTCATTGCTAAGATTCATCAACCTCTTACCATAGGCTTTATACTCTCTATCCTGTTTAATCTTTACAACCACTCTATGGGGGTGTGTATGATGACTTTCCTGACTTTATAGTTAAGAAGCGGGTTTAGAAACTGTTTATACAGCTACTAAGCAGTAGAGCAGGAATGTGAACCAGTCCAATTCTGGTTCAACCACCACATTTGTGCACCAAACTTAAGTGTTAGTATTATCATCATATCACTCACATTCATACATATATCAATATTCTAGATCCCTGCAGCAAGGAAGCCAAAGCCCCTTACTATTAAAACTTTTTAAAATAGTAAAATAATCATAATAGAATAGGGTGAATTTCTAAGCTAAATCACAAAGCTTCTAATCAAAAATGGTTTTGCTTGAAACCTGCTTGGGGAAACACCCCTAGACCCAAGGAGTCCTTGTTCTCACCCCTCCCCTAATTTTGTTATTTTGTTGAAAAATTTGGACTAGCCTGCTCAATGAATATGTGTGTGCAGGTACTTGACCTGAACCATGGATCCTTGATCTTCATATTTAAAGATGAATCTGTTTGAGGGATCTGTTATCTTCATGTCACATTAGAGAGAATTGGCTCAGCCTTCTTTTGAGCTGTAAGCTTATTAACATAGCCAGTGGACACCTACAAACCTCAGTAGCTGAAGGGTGTCTGCCTCCTTCCCCTTCTCCTGACAATTATGCTGTGATTCACATTGTGTGGTTTCTTTGATTAAAAAACAGAACACATTTTATTCTCTAGCATTTTTCATTTAACAAGTTAGAAAAAGAAATGCAAAAAGACAAATCATCCTTGTGCCCTACCTCTCTAAATCTTACCCGCATTCATGACTATCTTAGGAAAGGGCTTTGAAAACCAGAAAGCACTAAACAAACATAAGGCTTCATGTAATTAGACAATGAGGGGGTCATTTAGTGCACTAGAGTGCGGTGGAGTTTCCCTGTTCAGTGTCTGAATGATTTTGGTTATATCCATGGCAGTGCTGCTACAGCTAAACAGAGAAGTGCAGGGTAACTTTGAAATATTTTGAACTTATTGATCCTGAATCTCTCTTAAGAAAATAAATGAGTATCCAAAATTCCTCATGGGCCCCAAAGGACATTTATAAATAGAATATCCTTGTCAGCTTAAGGCCAAACTGGCTACAGAATTCGTCTAATTACTGAGACAGGGACTCAAGGACTTGAAAAGATTCTAGGTACAGTCATGACATGCACCTGCATTCACCTCTAATTATTCATATTTTTCCTGCTAAAACTTTGAAAAAGTTATTTTATTTTTCCACTGTACTCTCTTTTAACTGTTGATCTAATCTGATAAGAAATATCTATAGGATGGTCACAGAATATGAAACGAAACAAAGCAGGCTTATATTCCATGGTAAGATGCTGCATGTGCAGACTCTAACTTAGGGAAAGAAAAGGCTTTGTAAAATTTCTTTCAATATATGAGCATGTAGGCACTAGCTGAGTAACTTTTTGATTCATTCATAAAATGAGTTATGACATTATCACCATCATCTGACACATCTTAGGACTTTAGTCTTCCTCCTGCAACTATGTATTGCCTTCACCTAACCAAGATGACTCTTAGAGAGTGATCTAAGCTTCCTTAAAAATGCATTCAGTGTCAATGCAAACTGATAATATTCATCCCAATTTCACTGTTCCCAGGGGAAGTCCCCTCCAAAAAACAATTCCACAGTCCATTGCTATTCAGGGAGCAGGGCTAATGCTTTTCCTCACTGCTTCTGTCCCTAAACTTCATTTGCATGCACAGGAGAAAAAGACATCCAACACAAGAGAGTGACAAGCCAAAAGGTCAAGGATCAGCACAGTGATGTGCTTTATAATATTTGCTTAATTAAGTGAGCTTCACAAAGTACACAAGGAGGTTTATACTTACCATTTAGGACACAGTAATCAAATTAACAGAACACTGTGAAACTCATTCTCAATTTCTTGTTCTAGTAGGAGCAAATAATGACATGTAAAATTGTGTAACACACGTATATGTTTGAGGTACTTCACAAACATGTAAATTTAATGGGATTATTTTACCCCACATATTTAATTTTTAATAATTAAAACTACCTGAAATTCTTCTACTACATTCTATTTTGGCAGTGGTAGAAAGTAGCCCCATAACATGCTGGATAGAAGAGTACACCCATTTGGGTTGAAAAATCCACCATAGTTAATCCTCAAAAGTGAAATTTTTGCATCCTATAATCAGAAGTTGCTGGGCATTTGATTAAATACCCCAGGCATTTCATCCCCAACGTACTTTCATTTCTCCCCCAACTGGCAAACAAGGGAAATTAGACCAAGAACCCGAAGAAACAAAGTGTGTACTTTAATACGGAAATGCTTTTACCTGCCATCCTGCTGTGAATGAAATGGGCTGGGCTTTCAAAATGTTAGTCAGCTTAACTCCCAGTTGGTGGCACTGGGAAAATGTAGCCACTCAGTCTTATTGCTGTGTTTCTGTTCTTTAACTGCCAACTGGAATACAATAGAGGATTCAAATGGAAACAAAAGAGAGATGGATCCAGAAAGAACCAGAAGGACGACAACAAAGCAATCCAAGAAAATGCTAAGGAGCCAAAGACACTGCATTCCCCAAAGTCAGCATCCCAGGCCCTCTTCACATGGAAGATAATTAGGCTTCCGTTAATTACCACTTCCCCTCAGAGGGTCATGATATTTTACAAATCACAAATTATCTGGTAGATGCTTTGCTTTGTGACACTTTAGGAAAGTCATAAGATGTGCTTAACCCAAACAGAGAATGACTATATCACATTGCTTAGACGTGGATAATTTATTTTACATATTATGAGGGATTTTAATGTAAACATACAAAGTAGCAGTGTTGAACACACTAATATTTTTGGACCACAAAGGCAGTGCCTCCATTCTGATGGATTACAGTATATGCAGCATACACAGAGGGCTAGATATTTTTATTCTCATATTGCATCAGCAGGTACCTTTACTTATGTTCAGCTTCTCCATCATCTCGCCATTGTTTTTTGTACTTTTTTTCTTCTTATGCAGACATTATGTCATTACAATAGTAGACACAAGGCTGCCACTTATCACACAATCCTCATGTCCTCTTTTAACTTCAGAACGTGTCAAAGTATGTATACCATTGTCTTTGGTTTGTGCACATTTAAGAATTCACACATCAAAAGTCAAACTTTGTCCAGGGTTACAGAGAAGCATGCCTTTCTCAATTACCCCTCCCCAAGAATAATGATGTATACAATTTATATTTTAATTTAAATATACTGCATGATGTATTGAGTTATAGTTTTCTAAGCTGCAAAGGATGAGGAAAGCAGTAAAAAATAATGTGACTTACATAGAAACAAAATACATTCAGTAGCCTGGCTTTTAGGTCACAGTTTAAATAATGTATATGAAGTTTTATATTATAGATTTCTATATCAAATGGATAAATGAAAACTTTCATGGGCCTGGGATAGTCATAAGTAAAATCACATGAAATCACATCTTATGGGACATGATAAAATCTTACCTTATCAGATGTGACATCCAAAATGTTGCATTTTCCCTGTGATTTTATTAATAATGCGGGAGCATCCTTCTAATAGAGAATCTCTTTTATAAAACACTGTCTTTGGTATTAATCAGAGTCAGAGTATTAACTAGGTGATCAGTACAAAATGTAAACAACTCTTGTTGTTTCAGCCAGTCTGAAAGTTCAGAATAAGAAAAAAAAAGTAAGAATTTTCGACTGGCCAGCAAAAATCAATACTACGGTTTTTATAATACTGTGAACTTGCTAGCATTTTATATTTTAACTATCTTTTTATGTCATTTTATTTATAGGGATGCGGTCTCTGCTACCCAGGCCGGAGTGTAGTGGCACAATCATAGCTCACTGCCATCTCAAACTCCTGGGCTCAAGTGGTCCTCCCGCCTTAGCCTCCAAAGTAGCTGGGATTCCAAATATGAGTCACTACACAAGGCTTAACTTTCTTATAATCCATTTTTGATCCCACAAATTACTAAAACTCAAATTGTGTCTATCTCCAGACAAAGCAAGACGGTAATTTGTCAATTTTCTACTGAGACCTAAATTATTTTCCTGAATCTTCTACTCCTCAAATTCATTATAAAAATGAACAATTTACCATCTCACTTCACATGAGGAAGGTATTATAGAATGTAGATCCCAGGATAGAATAACCAAACACTACCTGGGGACAGATGAACATGCGTGTGTGCGTAACTTGAATTGTTCCAATTATTCTTTTGCTTATAAAGCAATTTCTATATGAGCTCCAGAAGCCACTTGGAAGCAAGATCCATTAGCATGCAACATTTTCTACTTCCAGAAGCCAACTCATAATAAATCTCTTACCTTGTAGAGAGAGGGAACAGCACAGGGCTCATAACAGGATGAGTGATGCATAAAATGTTCTTCAGCTGACTTCCCATGGGATTTATATTTCCAAACCTAGGAACACCGTCTGCCTGCACGGATGGAATGCTAAGCAATGCAGTCAAACAACCAATACGTTATGTATAGTTTTTTAACTTTAAGAAACCTAGAAGAAACTGTAAAATATGTAAACAAGTAAATTTGTGTCTAAACATTATAGCACAAATTAACTAGAAAAATACATAGCTTAAATAAGGAAGGTCAGTGATGGGCTCATATTTTGAGTGTGATTGTGATTATGAAAATAATATGCTATTTCTTAGAAACTGACCAGTTGCTGCATTCTTGGTTATAGGTTTAAGAGGGAGACTCTTTTGTATTGCATTAATGCAAGTATTTCACAAAGAAATCATAGGATCTGAATTACGATAAAATGTCAGTCAAGGCATTTATTTTGGGGGTTTATTTTTCAAAAGTAATCAAGAGAATAAAGAAAATAATCTAAGAAAATAAATAAGAAAAATACATATGTTCAAATTCTACTTACATTTTCTCATTTGTTTGAAAAGGTATCACTAATTTTTTTACAGTACAGTTTCAAGTCAGACTTATTTCCAGTCTAAATTTAGCCTCTGTTCATTGTGTCTTATTTCTGCAGGCATGGGAAAGAAAATCAATGCTCCTACTCACCTTTGGAAGAATTTCACTGCCAAGTCTCGATGGTTCTATGGGATCCAATAATCCGTGGCTCAGTATTGATTTTTCTATGACACCTGTAGAAACAGCCTCTCCTTCCTTTCTAACAAAATATAGCAACAAAAATTGTGTAGTTTCTGAATGAATTAAGCATAGGTTATTAAGCACAACCTCATCGTGTAAGGCAATGTGGTTTATCTTTTCTTAAAAAATGTTGACTTGGCTCGATTTTTTTCTGAGCCATTTAACAACTGTTTGAAGGCGATGTGAACATCTATGTGTAAAAATAATTTGAATATAACTTTCTTAGGTTTCTGGCACCTAACTTCTATATTGCAAATAGCATTTATTCTCCTAAGGAACTAGAAAAATGATAAAGCCTATCTGAGTTCAATTCCCAAAGTATCTCCAAAATAAAAATCTTTTTGGATATACAAAACTAGGATCATGCTTTTAAAATCTAAAGCTTTGATTAAATACAGGACCTTTAAGGGAGTAAATAGGGCATATCAAATCCTAGAAGAGAGAATGGGTTAAATTTGGGGTGTATTTTATAGCATTAAAATAGTTGGAAAAACAAGCAAAAAGCAGCAGCCTTTCTCTTTTCTCAACAAACGTAGTCCAAAACACACACACACACACACACACACACACACACACACACACACAAAACAACAAGAAGTCATGTTTCCAATATTCTTTACACACCTTATTTAAACCTCAAAGGTATTTGTTTCACCCTGAGCAGATTCTTTGGGCATGTCTGATTCTATTTCCCCGCAGCCATTCTGCGCTGAGTGGAGTAACTACAGCTGGCAACCTACTCCAACACTCACTCCATCATCCTGAGAATCTGCAAAATAAAAATGCAGTGTTAAAAAAAAGAAAAAAAATGTTTTCTTTTACCTTTGCTTTTCCTGGTAAAATCCTAGAAAAAAAAATATGGAGCAGGGTGTTTCCCACAATGTATGTGACATCCTGGTTAAAAGTGACAGGACCATGTTGCACTGTGACAGGTTTAGTGTTAAGACCTGACAGATACAAACCTGCAGGAACAACCTCCCTGCCACAGGTATTTAAGCTCATGTGAAAACTTCGATTTGATAGTCCCTTGATTAGCTTTTGCAACAGTGAGTGCTACTGCCTTTCAAGTTCATTATAAATTACGGAATTCTTCACAGTACTGTCAATTTAAGCTCTTGTTTTACTAAAAGGCAGGCATTTTAACCACTCATCAAACCTGTGCATATTTTTGAGTTAAAGAATTAGATCAATCCAAACTCCAGTTCTCAAGGGAGAAGTTCCATTGTTTATCAGGCCATGTCTACACTGGCTGAGCAAAGCGCTCTGTTCAGAAGGAGAAGCGCCTTTGGCAGCTAGAGTCCACATAGCTGACCCATGGACGCTCGGGTGGAGTTTCTTCACCTAATTACACAAGTGCAATGAAATTACTGAACATTGATTAAAATGACCCATGACAACAAAATAGCATGACATGATTGTTGTTCTAATCTATTTACATGGTAGTCATTTAGAATGTAATTCAAAGAATCTGTAAGAATGCGAAGATGCCTATACTTACAGCAGATGATGAATATGGGTATTGAAATACTTGATAACTCAACATTTGGTTTTACCCAAGTCATTCTTTCTAAACAAGACAGTGGTGGCACAATTTTAAAATGAAATATTTTTCCTAACTGGTCCAGGTTAAGCTCACAATGCTTATATTTACAGAGAGAAATTCACAGAGTTTAAGTAATTAAAAAGATGATTTTAATCTCAACAAAACGGATTAAAAGGTAATCAACCTTCTGGAGAAAATATTTCATTTTTCCAGCTTGCTCAGTGAAGATTTAGTAACATCTATAGGTACATTTGATTCTGGTGATAGTACCGTGCCCTTGACCCATCTTGAACGTTTTAGATAAAAAGTGGTTTAGCAGAAATGTTCTACTGACAGCCATGAAATTATAGGCTTTCCCTTTCATCCATCCAAACACACACCACCCTGTGAAATAATAGAAACAAACACTAATCACCTTTGGAATTTTGCCAGCCTTCCCCATAGGTGAGCTGCAGAGTTGGACTAAATTGTATTGGAGGAATAAAGCCTGTCTCATCCCTGTGAATGCTCTCAGAGGGCTTCAGAGTGCATCCATTTTAATTCATCAAAGAAAGCAGAAGTAAAGATTTAACTGTGTGGGAATCTATCAGAGCTTACCTCTATCAATATCTCCCCAAAATAAAGTAGTTAAGTCAAACACAAATTCAGTTTCCCTAATCACTTGGACTTTGCAGATGGGAGTAGCTCATAATTTTTCTTTTTTTGCCAATCCCAGCTTCAGATTTTCAAGATAAGTGTTCGTCACTCTGTTTCAGTTGGTAGTCATTCATACAATTTATACATCAAATCCTTTTTTAGTGGGTGCAAAATCCCAACTTCAGATGGAGTCATGGCAATGTCTGGCTGATTCGTTTTTTAAATTACCACTCAAATTATAAAACAAAAGAAATCTAGTTGCTCTAATTGCCTTATGTAGCAAAGTCCATCTAAGATAAGTTGAATTTTGTATCTTCTGAAAACACTGAGAATGTTTAAATATAAATATAAATATAATTGTTGCCAAAAATGTTTCAGTCGGCTGATGATGATGATGATGGTGGTGGAGGTGGTGGTGGGGATTATAAAAGTAGCAAACGTCCTTATGGTACTTGACTATGTGCCAAGCACTGTCCTAAATGCTTTGTGTATAGAAACTCATTTAATCCCCCAACAACCCTATAAGATAGATACTATTAGCCCAATTTAACAGATGAGGAAACAGGATTACAGAGACAGCAAGTTACTTGTCCTGGATCATGTAGTCAGTAAATGGCAGAGCTGGATTTGAATCTGCGCAGTCCGGCTCCAGTGTCTATACTCTCTTAGATGGTGATGTGCTCGGCCTAGCCACAGTGATGAAGCTGGCATATCATTACGCACAGACATTTAAATTAAAACGTGGTATTTTGACATTGGTTATTTCCTTCCTATATGAATGGAATTAACATGCCTGGAACTAGAGCTTGACTCTCTCAACTACTCTGTCCACCAGGCTCGTTCTTCTAAACTCACTCAGGATTTCCTTTACACCTTTCAAAGCTTATATTTTAAGATATTTGTAAATGTGAAAAATATCAAATAAGAAAGGAACTGTAAAAATAAAAATTTTTAATTTGGGCCTAAGAATAATAGAGTATGTACCTAAATGTAACCTCATGGGATCAGGCCTACTGAGGTCAAATCCTAATGCTACCTATTCCAAGTTGGACAAGTTGTTCTATTTTTCTATGTCTTAGTTCTATTGTCTATAAAATGAGAATGAAAATAATGCTATAGTTTAAGATTGTGAAGATTAAATAAATTAATCCATATGAAATGCTGACCCCACTGCATGATAAGTGAGCATTTGATAAGTATGAACTTCTGTTATTATATTTAGTTTATATAGACTAGCCTTCAGCTGCAACTAAGCATTGACAATTAAAATTTGTCCTTGTAGTGTGAAAGTATTAACAGAGATTTACGAAAAATTTGTTGTTCTCACAGGAAATTCTTTCAGCATAGGGAAAATTTGGCTTTAAAAATTCACTGAGACATATTTTCACAAATAATTTTATTCCCCTTATTTTCAAGAACATAGACAAATTACAAATTATGACAGGACCACTTAAAAAGTCATCAGAGTTTATGATGTTATCACCTAAAAAGCTAAAAGTAACCTTTTTGTTCTTGTGACAGGGTCTCTCTGTTGTCCAGGCTGGCATGCAGTGGCATGATCACGGCTCACTGCAGCCTTAATCTCCTGGGCTCAAGTGATCCTCCTGCCTCAGCTTCCCCAGTAGCTGGGACTACAGGTGCACGACACCATGCCTGGCTAATTTTTTTGTATTTTTAGTAGAGATGAGGTCTCACTGTATTGTCCAGGCTGGTCTCAAACTCTTCAACTCAAATGATCTTCCCACCTCAGCTTCCCAAAGTGCTGGGATTGCAGGTATAAGCCATTGCAGCTGGCCTGAAAGTAGCTTTTTCTATATGGCAAGATTTTAAATAACATAAAAGCATTGCTTCCTTGTTTTTATATCATAATTCATATTTCTAGACAGAGTTACTTAAGTCAAATTGACCTTGATGGCAGTGATTCAATTTTAACAATTGAGCAATTAAACATCAGTAAAATTGTCCGTTATCTTCAGCTTGTCCATTTTTTAATTCACACTTCTCAATAATCTGAGTGCTCAGGCTTATATTTAAGTCCCAACTCTTTGAGGTCACATGGGTGAGTGAGAAATGGCTACTCCGGCACATAAAATAGAAATGTCCATCCCAAAGAAAAAGTAATGCAGGGATTAGGAGAAAATTAATTACTGAGCATCCAGCTTGCATAGAGCTATTCGGTAAGTGCTATCGAGAGAATTAAAAAAATGGATTGAAACCTTTTTGCTTCAGTTCTAAAATGGACACCTTCACCAGAGACAGCCTGAAAACCCCAGAGGCCCAGAACCTATTCTAGGTAAATCTCACTCTTTCACCTGGATATTCCCAGGATGCACCGAACTGTCTTTTTCCAGTTTGGTCACCATGGAACTTGAGAGCCTCTTGCTGGTCCCCAAGAAGCTGGCAATAAAGAGAGACACATTTGCCTCATGTCCCAGTACCTCGGGGACCAGATATTCTTTGGCAATCCTGAAATAAAGGAAGCCTTGATATATAGCTAGTGCCTTGGTCAAGAATTAAAGTTTTGAAAACAGGAGCTGGTGTGTTGCCTCATCTGGGACAAAGAGAGTAGACTGAAAACCAGGCACAATCAATGTGTCTTAATGTTAATCCTAACTGCGCACACCCAGGCTCCCCACTGCAAACTCTACCTCCCAGCACTGCAACGTCTCCCTGCCAGGTTCGAGCAATTCTCCTGCCTCAGCCTCCTGAGTAGCTGGGATCACAGACATGCATCACTGGCTAATTTTTGTATTTTCAGTAGAGACTGTGTTTCGCCATGTTGTCAGGCTGATCTCGAACTCTTAACCTCAGGTGATCCACCCGCCTCAGCCTTCCAAAGTGCTGGGATTACATGTGTAAGCCACCGCGCCCGGCCAGAAAATTCTCATTCTGAAATGGGATCTCAGCAGTCATCAGCTTCCAGGTTTCTGGATGAGGAGAGCATGTCCCAGAGACAGCCATCTGCCGAAAGTCTCATAGAGTGAGCAGCAGTTTTAGAATTAAAACCCGCGGAGGTAGAAGGAGATGGTTGAAGTGTTAGAGTAGAAACAAATTCTTCGTAGCAATTAAATGATTAGAAGGAAAATGGAAACACAAGGAAAGACACAAATGACTTCTACAGTCAAGAGATGTCAGCAACCTCAACCGTGAATTATTGGCACAGACAACCAGGGGGATGTGAAGAACAAAGACTGCCAGGAGCTGAACAAGGCAACCTGGTTTCACTGAGAGGATGAGCCTTCTCTAGCAAAGGGAATGGACGGTTGCAGTAACTACGTGGGGAAGTTATCTGATGTTCAGATTTCCTATCTGAGAGCATCTTTAAGTTACTTAACCACAGTGTCAGTCACAGTGTTATCTCCAGTATCTTCAACAAGCATTATTAGCTGCAGCTATTACTGCTGCTACTCTATGACCCACCCCCACACCCCAGCTGCTCGAGGTTCATTAAATGTGTTTTTCAGATTTTCTGAACAAAATACAAAAATTTTATTTTCTTGTGGCAGTTTCATTTTTTTTTTAATTGTTGCATGTTTGGGTCTCTTTTAAAGATATTTAGATATTTAAGTTTTAGAAAGGATACTCCTTATTTCATATCATATATGAAATCCAGCAAATAATCTCCAAATATCAAACGGAAAGTTTCAAAAAGATCACATCTACCTAGTATCTCTCGTTGGCCGCTCCATAGACCTGCCATCATTTCTCATTATCCTTTTTTTTTATGATTGCACATACAAATCCAACCCAGGTGATTTGGCTCTTAAAGAAATGAATGTGAATTAATTCCGATGATCATAAATTTTAATGAGACAACACTTCAGATGCTCTCAGACGTTCCAAATGCAAAACTTATCTTTTCTGTGGTGAAACTGGAAATTTTTTTTCATAGGAAACCTTGATCGTTTCACCCCTGCTATTTTTTACATAATGAAACAATTTGCATATCAGCAAGGTCAGCGGGGACAGAATTGGAATCTCAGGCTCCCTGTCTCCCTGCCTCTCCCATGCCAATGCTACACATTTCTCATTCCCTTTTGTTCGCAAGTTTTATAATTTCACAGAATTACAAGTCGTATAGCATGACATCAAGCTTGATCTTGTCATTTTGCTTGATTGTGCAAAATTACAGTCGTTCCAGAATGTTGACAGAATTCCTTTCAATATTTTCTCTGTTCGTTTATTAAGTGGCAGTGTCATACTTAAAGAATGATCATTTCTGGGACTACTCATTCAAATCTTTGAAGACTGACATCCCATTAAAAATTCGTTTCTCCCAATCACCCTCTATTCTCCCTGTCCCCAGTACACTCAGCATGTCAGAAATAATTATAAGTGGCTTTACATATACAGAAGCCATTTCTCTTTAATATTCCAGAATAAATGAATGTAGTATTGCTTTGTTATCAGCTTTATTCTGGTTGGAAATTTACATTATCAGTAATACCTCACAAAAAAGTTGAAACCTGCCCCAGTGTTCCCAATTTCTCTAGATCAGCCCTACCTTCAGACATCATTTGTTCCTTGCAGATAATTATTTAATATTAATGGCAAAGGTCTGTCTTCCTCAAAGATGGCCCTCACCTTCTTGTGCTACTTTTCATAGGAGCATGTTCAAGGTAATGGCTTTTCTATGTCACTTATTCACATTAGCGCAGCTTGTTTAAAAACAGATTTCCGATTAGAATTTTTTTAAAAAGCAGGAGGTGATAATCAAGCCCATTCAGAGTTCTTTCTTATGTCACATTGCCTCTTTAGAGTGGGCACTGCCTGTTCTTTTTATCAAACAAAGGTGGAAAACCTGTTTTGTATCCAAGGGACGTGGAGAATGTCTATACCTATATTTTCTTTCAAAGCTTACTATTCTTACTTATGGGTCTTGCTTGTACTGTAGAATAAAGTAGTCACTACAAAAGGATGCATTCTGTATGCCTCTCTCCAAGTTGATGGAATGCAATGTATTATGGGAGACATTATCTGTTTGCACAGATAATCAGGATTATAAGTTTCTGGATCTCTGGTTTGTTGGCTGATATTACCTGCTTTGACAAGCTCTAGAAAGACACGCTACCAGATGGGCTTACGTATGGAGAGGCCCAAGGCTTGCTGAAACGCCCTGACGTAAATGCTGAGAGACTAGTTTCCAAGATGGCTGCGGCTTTGTGGAAAACGTTCTTGACTTGAACAGGTAGAATTGTGTCTCCTCTTTGCCACTTATTAGCTATGTGGCTTTGAGCAAACCACTTATGCTTCCTGAGGCTTATTTTATAAACTGTTGGTAATAATGCCTTTGGGGGCTTATATAATAAATCAAATAATATATATGACAATGTTGGCTCATAATACATCATCATGCAGATGCTTGGCATTATTTTTCTTAAGTCATTACCTAAAGTTAACGGGCAAGTCAGTCAAGATCACGGATATCAAACAGAAATCTAGAGGAAATCTATATGTAATATAACCATATTTACTCAACACTAGAAATAGACCTTTCTTCTAATGAAATATTACTATGAGTAAAATTTAATCTTATGTATCTATCATACATACAGGCAACCAATTTTCGGCAAGTGGCAATGCAGTAAAATACTCAAAAACTGCATATAGAGTAGACATAAATTAACACTTTTTAATAATTCAGGAGGCATTTCATTGTCTTATCGTACCTAAGGGTCATAATTATGATTATCAGTGGCTAATTTACTAGAGAAATGGATGGAATGCAAATGACTCTATAGTATAACTGAGAATAAATCTTTGGAATTAATCCATGCTATCCATTTTTAATAGTCCTAGGTCTCTATTTCCAAAATGTAGCATGACTTCAATCATTCTAAGTTAACTGACCTGAGCTTTTTGATGATTTGTATTCTCCTAAGGGGATGTTAACCTCAGCACAAATTTCCACATTCTACCACATCACCAAGCATGTTGCTTAAACATAATGCCTTGTGGGTAGTGTTCAAGGCTGGGAATTCTTCTACATCTCTGACCCTGATGCACCAGGTGCGGAAAGAGCAGCAAGAAGTAACTGCAAAAAGGGGAAATAGAGAGGAAATAATAAGTTCTGTGCTGACTAATTGATGAGACTGTCAAAAAGATGAAAGGAATTAAAAGCTAAGGAAGACTCTGTAAATTATATGGCACTAGAGAAGTCTAAGGTGTTATTATAATTATCGCTATTAATAGTCTTACTCAGTTTACAATGGAAGGGTTATATATAGCTTGAAAGGGAAGAGCTCTTTTTCAAATGATGATACATTTATTCCTCCATCAACTAATTCTTGCTCTCTCAGCTTATTTCTCAGCCAACGTGAGTGACATGTATAGTCTATCCTTGTTTCCTTCTGTTTTTATCATAGTTTGACACAGTTGAAATAGATGGGAAGATCTTGCAGAGAATAAGGCAGCAAGCAAATTCTGAAATTTTAAAAATAGCTGTCTCTGAATAGTAAAAAGGTTTCGGCACATAGGAAGCTAAAGATGCTCTTGTTAATATGGCTAAAAGCATGTAGCAATTATTGTAGGATGGTAGAATATTCTAAAAGCTCAGCATTTGCACACCATATCTGTT